GATCACAAGACAAGTCCGGATTAGCTCCATGATTTCCGCTTGCTCCGGTAGTATGATGTCGTGGGTGCGAATTAGGGGTGAGGTTTGGGGTGAGGTTCCGGATGCTCCTGGGGTCGCTGATGCCGCCGCGGGCTGTGGAAGCCATGGCCGAAATAGGGCCGTTTTGTGGAAGCTCCTGCGTGGCCCAATGATCCAACGGGATAGGAAGTGTTGTACTTGGGACATAGCCGTCGGCAATGTCGATCTCTGTGGGCCATGCTATAGAAACGTCTGGAAGACTTGTGCCTTCACACTCCCTTGTTTGGTCATGGACCAGGTATTCCTTGAGAGATAATGCCAACGTTGACGGCGTGATTGTTTCTGTCGACGTACTAAGCTCGCTACGGGCATCATCAACTGGCTGCTCAACCGTAGTGTGCAGTTTCGGAGACACCTGCGTGCTTTTCACAGACGATGCCCTATGACGTTGCCCTGGATGAAGGTAGCGTAAGTGTTGTGGAGCTTACAGTGCAATGTGGTCATGGTTGGGTAAGATACCTACTCCATCGTTGCTGCGACTCGCGGTTCTGGCGCCGTCGCCGCTGCTGGATATCTTCAGCTGACTGTCTTGTCATTGCAAATCCTGCAAGTTGCTGCGTGAAGGTAATCTAGTCCGCGTCTGGATCCGCCTCACTCTACGATGATAAAGATATTCAAGCATATGGCATGGGGCTTCCGTAGGGAATATATTGGCCGGGTTGAGAGCCGCATCCGAGGATATTGATCAACTTGATCGCATCGGGGGGCTCGGGCACCTCCGTCTGACAGCGTTGTTCTTCATGCGGCCCACCTGCGGTGACGACATGTATGTTGGCCGGGGATCCAGTTTCGAAAATCTGTACTTGAGATTGCAAAAGGAAAGAGTCAAGTCAACTCACGCCTACCACCTTGTGTGCTGTTGGTTCAGTTACAGAGAATTCTCTCTCGGTGTCGCCCGGAAATCGCCGTTGTCAGCACCAGATCGAACTTGAAGGGGAGGAGAGGTCTCTACAGTGTAATCAAAGACTTAGTTTCTACACGACTTCTTTGCCTTTCATATCGCCCACCAAGAAACGGATTCAACTGAACTTGACTTTCAATTTGACTGAAGCTGGGGAAACGTAACAGCAGGTTGGTCAGTCGATACCAACGTAGGGAACTTGACCCCTCGTAGAGGAATGGTCACGGCGAGAGGTTTGGGACGTCCGAAAATCGGCCTAGAAAACGAGGCAGTACGGACCGGCCCTAATTAGGCATGTCGCCCTAACGGGAGGAGAATTACTTGTCGTTGCCGGTGCAACGTTCGGCACGATCACGAGGCGGATTTTGCGGGGCGTTGGTCAGAACTCGGCAGCATATCCGGCGATAACACCTTCACTGCGCACGCATTGCATTAATCATTCTTCATACATGTGGTCGAGAAGCATGCACAATGAACAGACCCTTCCAGGATTGGTGTCGTCCTGCGTATCATCGACCCGTGTTCCGTCTGCTGGCTCTAATATGGTATGGGCCGAGTGATGGCCAGTAAATGGCACGGAACAGTCTCATATCATAGATGAGTTGATAAGTCAATTCTTGCCGAACTCGGCCTGCCTAGAATGCAATGAAGCAATTCGGCTTCGCAGGCGAGCTCTATTGCCTCGAAATAAACTAATCTGTCTCCTCTGGTACACCAACGGCTATCAACTTGGACCCACCCTATGAGCTAATGTACTCAAGTTACATATATGAAAACAGGCAGAGGTCAACTGGTGTGGTATTTTGTCACTTGATGCAACTGGCAAATGCTCGAGATGGCGCGGTGAGACAAGTTTATTGTTGTGTCCCCAAACAATGAATACGTGTATGTCTCAGCCGTGCCTGGTGTGGAGAACCGGCTGGGACGGCAATGTACTGTTGGTTGGTTATGGTGGTCAAAATCTGATGTGTTGCTGCTTTGGTCGTGGAACTTGCAGTCTGACTTGCCGACTCCCAGAACTATCGCCAGATTATTGCACATGGGATTACATCAGGTAATTAAGTGACAACTCCGGGCCACAACAATGCATAAATACTTCAGCCAGGAGGACCACCGGGACGTATTCTCATAACCTCCAAGTAGGCCTCCTCCTGCCAAAATCAATATCATCCGGTTATTCAACTGCACCCTGAATATGAACGATCACACCGTTTCTCACGGCTTAGTCAACTTCGGACTACCGATACCAAGGTCTCGGGGAAGCCGATCCGGAAGTTCCACCACACGGCAGCTCAATCCAAATCCGTCAACAGTGGTTGAACCATCTGAACGAGTCACTGTACAAAGTGCAGTAATAGGTCTTATCGCAAGCGTTACTCGCCTGGAACGCGAAATCGCAACCCACAATGTCGCACTCGTCAAAGCGAGAGCGCCCATATCCCAATTGTCAGAGCAGCTGGCCAGTTTTAAGCTATCGGTGCAGTTGCTGCACAAATGTCTCGAATCCAACACGGCTGGGGCATTAGACATGTCAAAAGGGGCAGCACTGGTTCACCTTGACACTCTCATTGCTTTGCTAACAGCTTGCGTCATGGCTTGCTCGGAATTAAGTACCCGACTTGATCATGTTATTAAACCAATCGAGCACAATAACCGTGAGGTTATTGAGAACAATGCTGCGCAGCCCGATTCTCCAATCCTACGGAAAGATATAAACAGAATTAGTAGTTTGCATCATCCAATAATTATGCTCTGCAACGCTATGCAACTGTACGTTGAGAGGACTCCTTATGTAGAAATATGTTAACGATAACCAGGCAAGATGAAGCCAAAGCCAGGGAGGAACATTTATCTGCCAATGAATTTGTTGCAGATATGCTACAATATGATAGATTCCTATCTGTTCGTATGCAAGGCCTAGACGACTGTTTCAATATAAGAGACCAGGTTCCTTCAGAACGCGTGGCGGAGATTGCCAACCGCTCTCCTCCAGCATATAGCATTCCCAAGCCGACTGATGATGAACCACCTGCCTACACAGTGGCAATGGAGAATGGCAACCCAGATCGGTCTATCCAAATACAACCTCGGAACTGGTCAATATTTGCTGGCTTTACTCTTAACGATATTAAAAGTACAGACCGTATTTCTCTACCGCTCACTTGCAATGAGCTCAAATTCGGGGACTTTTACGTATGTTTCGAAGCACACTCATTGGATGGGATATATAACTACCATGCTAGTTCTGCCACAGTCGTCTAGATATATTCAAATGTGTAGTGCAAATAAAGGCACGGTTAAATTACCAGCGGAGACCGGAATCATCCGTCGCTTTTTGCGCAGGGCGGAGTAGCAAAGAAGCAGTTGAACAAATAGGTCAACACATTCGAGCTAGCTATTCCGCGCATTCTCTTCTATGTACCAGGTGTGGCTGTTTTGGTCAACAAAAGGTTAAAATGGACTTGACCCAATCCAAATCGCAGAGACTGGATGTCAGCCGAGTGATGGAGACTTGGTCCACCTAAATTTACGAGGAATTTTCCTTTATACTGTCTAGCTGATTTGCAGGGCGCATACGTAGTATAATCAAGCAACTACCCTATAGGAAGCAGAATAATTAAAAGATTCAAATGCTCGATCTAAGTTTTATATTACCATACTGCTTCCAAGAATTTTCGCAGCCTACTTCGTGTGATACATCTCCAATAGCGACTTGTAGTGTTTTCACATCAAATATAGCATCTTCGTTAGAATTCCATGCTGCTCCCTGACTCAAACTCTTACGAGGAAAGGTACAAGGATTATAGGTTGTAAAGAATTTTTAGCAAGCTGACATCAAGTCGTTGCGATTTGAATCAGAGTCATCAGATGCATGATAGGGTTAATTCCATTCTCTCAAATCCATCACTTGGCGGGAGCAAAAGCATGGCGTGGTCTACAGCATCCCCAGTTCCGTTTTTGCCTGTGAAAGTAACATTAAAACTAGGCAGCAAGTAACAGGGGTTCCTCCCGCAGCTGCTCTAAGCCACTTGACTTGTAAGTTGTAACATGCCGATCCGTATATCCGGGGCCGGGTAGCATCCGTGTCATGTGTCATATGCAAGCTTAGGGAGCCACAGTGAATCTGGACGGAAATGTGATCAATTTACGCTAATATGCGGTTGGCTGCTCCCTGGTCTGATCTGGCAGTTCCCACATGTTGCTCCGAGTTACTGGAAACACCTCCCTGCATATGAACTTTTGCTGCCGAGTACATGCGCTTTGAGGTATTCCTTGTGGTCCAAGGACTATAACACAGGTGGTAGTTCTCCGGGCTTTGCTACATGCGGACCTGCATGCGAAGGGGGGTCAGATGGGCCATTCTAGCCACGTTACACAAATCTTGTGCAGGGGATTGTGAGGGAGGTTCCAGGGCTGGGCCGTTGTCTGTTACCACAAGGGCGCTGCACAGTTGTCCGTTTGAGGCTGCGACCGGATGGGGAAGAGACTGGAAGTATCTACGGAGTACTTGAGGCCAAATTGATCCAATCACGCAACCGACAGCCCGACGCGGCGCCCAACTATCAAGAATGGCCCGTGGCGGGGATGGAACTTCATGTTCCGGCTTATCGTAAGCCGTAGAGCTGGAAACGCTCCTGGCAAGCCTGCACTTGACGCGACCTATTCAGCTCTTCCATTCGCTATAGTGAGGAACTTAAGAACATAGTTATTCAACAAGACGCCAGAAGTTCGCAGGTATGATGGGCTCGACGACAGTTAAAGACAACGGCGCCTTCGTATTGAAGGATTGCTACGTGTTTGAAACGTGATCAATAAAGCATTCAGCCGTCCATTGAAGTTCTTGTCATTCTCCTTGGTGACGGTTTCCACACTCGACCTTTTGTACACCCAAGTTTTCTAGCCGAGTACTCTGATTAGAGACGAGCCTATTGCCACTAGTCTAGAATTGTCATGGAAAGTTGTCAGTTTGCATGATATATACATAAGTTTACAGAATAACAGTCTCATATCAAGAATCAAGCTAAGAAGTCCAAGAAGAAACAAGGTCCGATCCCAGCACTTCTTCGGCGCCCCCAACCTTCCTTATTGCCCCGTCGGCCATCATCACTACCATGTCCATGGGTCTCATTCGGCCAGTCACAACGCCCAACCGGTGGGCGACAGCTACGACCGTGTATCCCTGCCCGGAGAACTCCTCGTCAATCAAGTTGTGGATCAACGATTCCGTCGCAGTGTCCAGTGATGACGTTGCCTCGTCCAGCAGAAGAACAGGTTTGAGCTTGGTTCTCAAAACCGCCTTCTTGACCAATGCCCTGGCGATTCCGAGGAGTTGAAGTTGTCCCACAGAGAGGGCGGGCAGTTCCGACATCTTGCGATCGAGTACTTCGGCGACATTTGCGGTGTTGGACTCGCACAGGAGGCTCCAGACACCCGTCTTTTGCAGCGCATCGACAATTTGACTGATTTCGGCTTTGCCACTCGGGTCGAGACTGAAGCGCAACGGGGTATCGGGCAACAGCATGGGGTCCTGTGGCACGGTAATGAAACATTGCTCACGGATTGCAGCCCGCGATATGCGGGAAAGGTCGACGCCGTCTACGCTGATATCACCGGTAATTTCAACGAGGCGTAGCAAGGATAGAAGAAGCGTACTCTTGCCACTGGTCGTTTATGAAAGATTAGCCTTGATGGGATAAGAGATCAGACGCATCTTTGCGGCGGAACTTGCCTTCCCGTGCGGCCGCACACCACAACCTTCTGACCGGCTTTGATGGTGAGAGAGATGTTTCGGAGACTAGCGGAACGCCCGCTGTGTGTTGCAATTAATTAGCTCAGTTCCGACTCAGTCCTGTGGTTGCTTTCACATAGGGATAGGGACTCACTTATAAGCCGCAGTGACGTGATCAATCACTATCCCCCCTCTTTGTGGCCAAGATGTCTCGGGAATATTATCCTCCCCAGGCCAGTCTTCTTTCTGAATCTCTTCATCCAAGGTTTTGAGGCGCTCGATGGCTCCTAGTGAGACTTCAAAGTCGGCCCAGGACTCAACCAGCCTGACAATAGTAGTATTTGTGACGAGGATGATATTCAGAGCAACGCCTACAGCTGCGCCGGTGGTAGTGCTTCTGAGAAATAACGCCAATGCGATTATAGTCACGGAGATTGCGGCGACCATGAGGTCGAGCACGAGGTTGAGCCACCGCTGAAGACTAGATAAAAGATAGAGCGGACCTTGTGAGCCATCCAGCGCGCGGTCAAAATGTGATTGGCAGCGACTCTGCCATCTGAATGCGCGGATGGTGATTAAACCTTCGACCTGACGGCCAAATTTAACTTAGAGATACTCGTAGCCAATAACTGACATGTTGGGATGGGGCAAAGAATACGTACAGTCTCAACGATTTGCGAGAAGACGGCCGACCTGGAGGCAAGTTCTTCGATCCGCACTTGGCGCAACGTGCGAAAATACACCCTCGCGACAAGGCAGATGACGACGAAGCACAGGGGAATAGTCAAAAGCAAAAGCTTTTGGACGGCAAGAAGTAAGGAAACTTGCACTAGCAGCTTAAAAATCTCTGTTTACCTTGTTAGTATTGTCCAACATGTTCGCACCACCGAGTTCTTACGGTTACTTAGGGACTGAAATGCCCCGGGCAGATCCCTATCGACTAGTTGTATGTCCTGACTGAAACTGCTTCGTTGTAAGCTACAAGCTCTTGGAAATTATCCAGAAACTAAAAGGCAAGTTATACCGATTTAAAATGACGCCAATATCAGTTGTAGCAAAGAACGAGAGTGGTGCTCTGTGCTACAGTTAGCTTCACGGCTGAATTCATTCGGATAGGATGGAAGACGCGCCCTATTATGTTACCCAGCAACTTGGAGTGAAGAAACAGGCCCGATCTAGGAGTGACAAGCATGAATGTCGACCTGGCATGAGATTAGCAGGTTGGTGTTAGAATAGACAGGAAATGGGAGCCCAAGAGTGACTAACCACATAGTTCCATTCGTGGCTACCCAAGCGAACAGAGCTAGTAAGCCGTATACCATCATATAGAGCCATTCGACATTCTGATCTGCCTCCGTCCATCGCTTGAGCCAGTAGTGTGGAAAAGTGATGAAGAACGAATAGGTGGCGGTGCAGCCTATCATGAAGATGGCGTTGAAGAGCCCTGCGGATTTGAAGTAATAGCCTGGTTTTGGGGTGAGTCGATGGTCAGATTCTCTGGCTGAAAGAGACTACTGCACGAGCTTTCTTACCGTATAGAGAAAGATTTCCCGTCTTGCGATTCAAATCAAGCCGGGTGTCCAGCTCTTTGGCTTTTTTCTTCTGGGCGTCTAGTTGCGAGGCTTCGGCATCAACCTGTCCGGACTCATGCGAATCATCGGACATGACTTTGCCAGACGCATCAGGGAGAGAATCCAACACGCTCCAATGCCCATGCTCCTTTATGCGAGAGTTCTCTAGGATCACAACGCTGTCCGCCAGCTTAAAGTGGTGTGCTATAAAGAGAACATTAGAAGAGCGTATAGAGCAACACGGCTTCAAATTGGCCAAGGTAAAGCTTGTACCCACTCGCATTGGTGATCCAAAAGACTGTTGACCGTCTGGTATGGAAGATGCCCTCAGGTCCAAAAAGGTTATTGATGACCTGATCCTCGGTCCTTCCATCCAGGGAGCTGAAGGGGTCTTCTAGGATAACTATGTCACACTCATCATAGAGCATACGAGCAAGGGCCTAGGGATCAATCAGTTTTCATCCTCTTTGCTTTACGGCTAGAAACGAGAGGCCTTGCCAGCCGACGTTTCCCATCGAAGCCAAGAGCACACAGCTGCGCGATAGGATCTCATGTGAATAGATCATACCATTCTCTGTTTCTGTCCCCCTGACAGGTTCAAACCGCGGCCGCCAATCTCTGCGCTGTCCCCCATTGGTAGCTGATTAAGGTCGTGCACTAAGCATGATGATGAAACAACCTTTGATATCGATTCTCGTCCACATGTGTTGCGAAGTTACAGATGACATCTCGAATGGAGCCGTTGGGCAACCAAGGCGTTTGGTCGCAGTAACCAATCCGTCTCGATGCCGTCTTGATCGTGCCGTGGGAAATAGCCACCTCACCTAGTATGGCCTTTGCTAGCACCGTTTTGCCAGCCCCAGTTGGACCAGCGCAAATGACGATGCTTGAACGCTCAACTTCCAGAGTCACTCTGTCGAGAGCCGGCGCCGACGTCTTATCGGCTTCGACCGTGACTTCCTCGAGGCTGATGGCTGCAGCGGTGTTTCTACGAGGAAGTAGCCTCTCCGGCTTATCTTCAAGAACAACCCTCTGGTCTTGGCGAGGAGCTTCCAATAAATAGTTTTGGAGGCGTTCAAAACTGGCAAACGTGGCAACAACTCTTGGAATGATGGTCATTATCATGTTTGCTGGATGAATGACCATGGACAGAACAGCTATAGTCGTGAACGCAGTTTCGGCGTCGATAGTGTGATTTCTCTGGGAGAGGACTCCGTAGAGTATCATGGTGATTGCAGGCGTAAATATACCTAGGAAATTGGCTAAGAGACAGTAAGTAACGCTGTATCATCATTGTGTGGAATAGCAGTAAATTCTTCAGAACATTCCCCGAGGGGAAGCTTTCGCCAACATTGAACAAGGCATCCAACTTACCGCTAGCATTGTAACCAACCCTTGAGATAGTGTGTTAGTAAGAAATCTTCTTTATGCGACAATAGTATTTGGACACACATCCAGGACAAGCATGACTTAAAAGATTGCTATGCACAGTGATTACGAGGCTGCATATACCGCGAAGCAATGCAAGCTAGTCGAGCATTTAGTTGTTGCTACACATAGTGAGCCAATCCGTTTTATGACTTGCTGTTGGGTTGTGTAAACATACCTTTGTAGATACATGCATGTACTACGAGACTGTACAGATAAGCAGGCAGAGCCCTGCTGAAGACCCCTGTTAGATTGCTTAGCGACCAGACTTTTCCGTGACCAGGTTTGCTCCCCTTATGAGGTGTAATGGGGCTGTTGGGCAACAAGCAGTAGCTGAAAATACATTCGTTCCTCGCAGGTGCCTCGCTACGTGGTGAAGGATGGAGTGAGCTATCATGAGTGCTTCAGGACCGTGTAAACCCCGTGCAAGAGCTAGAAAACTATCCGTAGATCCTGAAGAGAAAGAGATAAATAGTGGCAACTGGTGAAAGCCTTTGCAAATTTTAAATTATAAACGTCGAGGGAAAGCAATCATTGCCCTACCATGGCCAAGGAGCGACACGCCAATACCCTCAAAGCCTCAAGCTCAAGTTCCCTGTCCAATATAGACAACGCAAGGAACACCAAGGCCAGTGAGATCAAAGCAACTAGATTTCAGTGCACAAAATTTCCCTTCACGATTGGTATAAAGCGTTACAATGGATTGAATGTCAGGATAGATGATCAAAAGCAAGCAAGCCCCGAAAGTTGCTCAATTTCTATGGTCATACACGCATAATGATAGTATGCAAAATGTGTAGCAAAAATTAGCTCCTAGCACAATTATGACAAGTTTTCTTCTAGAATACTGATTCAAACAAACATCCGCAATATCAACCTTGAAAATAGACGTGATGTTTCCGCGGTCTTCAAAATCGGGGTTGCCCACAGCCCTTAAAATTTCGTTCGTACAATGCATTGTGTGATCAAACGTGATTCGCGCAATCTGTTTGATCTCACCCTTGACTAAGCGGTGTATTCTTCGCATCAAGAAGACACAGTGGCCAATGTGGTTCTCGGTTGTTGTGAAGATTCTATGCCCGACCATCTCTGACAGCTGAAGCTCTGACTCGATTTGCTCCATGGCACCATCGTCATGAAAGTATGGCCATGGACCATGAAGCCGCTTTGTTTCAAATACCCAAGCTCGGAACTCACTAGCAGTGACATTCTCGGCGCATGCTGAGGGGATCCAGTTGTTGGTCAAGATGTCGAATTCGCAGCCAAGACTGCGAGCCTCAGCGGCTGTATTGCCGCAGTTGTGCTGGACAGACTTAACGAGCTCCGAGTGTGGCTGCGAACGCATCATTACTGCCCAATATCCCAGAGCTATACAAAGGATGATTGCCAGCGCAGTAGTGAGGACTGCGGCAATCACCCAAGCTAGAAGATGTCGATGTCCTGGAGCACAGTGGTAACGTGAGTGGACAGTATTGTAGCTGGACTTCAAGTCGTTGCCACCGTTATCCTGTTCCTGCGCTTCTACTATATTGTACTCTAGTCTGTTTTGCGTGGAAGGCCGAATGCCAAGTGCAGATTTGAATGATTTGAAGAATGCCATGACGCCCAGCCTTCAACAACGGAAGATGTATTTCCAAAGCCCGTAGAAAAATTCAAGGCAGATCTATAGAGACTTGTGACGAGAAAACTACCACACACTTTGTAGATCATGTATGTAATACTAAACCTACTGATTTATTCTCACACGAACTGGTCGAGAAAAAAGGAGTTCAGACGGTCGTTGAGGAACCCGATTTGGCAAGCCGACATGACCTCCGATGCCTAATGATCCTGGCAATCAGGTAATAAGTTTAAAAGAAATGGAGAAATTGGATAGTAAGCTCGATCAGATTTTCTCACTGCATAAAGTACGTAATCCCCAAGTACCGTAATCAACATATAATCACGCGCCGACAGCCCTATGCAACCTTACGGTCGCTGCTTCTGCTGTAGCGTGGAGAAGACGACTCACCGGGTATACGTCTGTCATGATCATATCAGCTCCAATGTTCGAATTTGATATCCAATTCAGGACAATCCGAGCAGGAACCCAGTTCAAGAGGAACAGAGGGTCAAAATTAGTAAAATATACTACCTCAAAATTGTAGTGTAGCAGGGTGTAGTTCTCTCTCATGCTAAGGTCAAACCAGCCGGCTTGATATCTATCTGCATCATCCACCTTTTATACCTCATAGGCCAAGATATCCCACTTACTACAATACAAATTACACATTAATAATGAAGGTCTTCCATCGAGCCACCTTTGACCCGCTGGCAGCAGGAACAGCGGCCGATAACAAATGGACCGGGGATAAGGCGCAGTCAGAGCTGGCAATTGGGCTTTCCATCTCGATTCCACCGCGTCAACGAAATGAAGTAATCGACAAGCTTGCCAACGCGTCTTCGAGCCCAGGCGTTTCCGTAGAGGCAAATGCCTACCGTCAAGGACCAAGCGAAGAGACCCGAGGCTGCTTTCGGCAATGTCTCCTCGGGGCGCTTCGAGCTGTCTGGAGGAACGAGAAGACCGAGGAGTGCTTTTTGCACCTTGCTAACATGCTCGACACAAACGGCTGCGCTGTCTTTGCGGGCCTGATCGATATTCCAAGCTTCCAGACGCTCGTCGATGAATTCACCAAAGCGATGGAGAAACATGGCTGCGGCGCCTTCCTCCACTCGTACATGAACCTGGCAGACCAACCGGAGTTTCTTCAGGATTCCAGATTCAACTCGGCTTTTGCACACCCCTTGCTCATAGCTCTCATGGCCTACGCCATGGGCGGCCCAGTCGGGATGACGGATGTACGTGCTAAAGACACTCCGCCAATCTCGGTCAACGCTCAAGACAACATGCTCCATATCGACAACAGCCCCTTCCGCCAGGAGTATAAGGTCTTGCTCTGCTGGGACCGCGGACTCACCAAGGGACCCGACGGCCAAAACTTTGTCTTTCTTCCAGGCACTCACAAGGGTAACCGCAACATAAGGCACGACAAAGATGGCAACCCGTGGTCAACGGAGAATGATAGCGTTTTCCTCACAGACAAAGCTCTTAGCGACCTCTTGGACTTCCAGAAGACGGTTCGAGGAAATTCTCCCACCATTGTTGAAGTTGAATACCCCGCGCAACCCATATCTGTGCTTTTTAGTGCCGCATCGCTGGTCCATCATCGCTATCGCACAGAGTATGGCAAGCCGCGGAGTTGCATCATCGCCGCCTTCCACCTTACGGCAGAAAGCCCTGGATCTGTCATTAATGACAAAGCTTTGGATACGTCGAGGGGTCTCCCTGGCGCAGTTATTAGCTGCCGGGACGCGCTAACACCCTCTGCGTTCATCTCGTTACTGATACATGAATCGTCGCGGATCGAAGCCAAAGTCGGCGAGATTTTTCAGGACAATGCTGATAGCCCCAGTACCTCGTCCTCGATGGTGGAAATAGACGCCCTCGCCCTCAAGCCCGACGCTATGGCACGTTGGCGCGAGACTGTGATAAATTCACCGTCTGCCTCGAGCATTAAGCTCAGTCGCAATGTAAGACTGTCGACTAAGAAGACGCTCATGGACCGGGACGAGTTGCTGAAACGAATAACAGATGTAATGGTATATGACAAGCACGGCTTGCTGGATTTGATCCTGTACCACGATGGGCATGAGGAGGTACGCAAGCCGGCACGCAAACTGATCTGGTCCATGGTGCCGGAGCAGATCACAACGGAGCTGGCGGCTTGGATTGGATATGGTGCGAGGGTACCCGACGACTTCTTCTCCTTCTCCGTGGCCGATATTTTGGAACCCCAAGTCCTGAAGAGCAGGGCCGACAGATTAGCTATCAGGGTGGGAGAATGTCTTCATGTGGCAACAAGAGGCAGTGGGCATGCTCACGCCGCTGATCGGATCCGGGTTTGGCGCTCTTTCCACCAGCTGCTGATTGATTTGGCTGAGTCTATTGTCAGATGTGAAAAAGTTGAGACTTACATCTCGACGAACCTCTTCGTCTTCTGGACCATTCATCATCTTTTGCCGGCGCTAGATTCCGAGACCGCAATGCAAGGCGTTGAAGTTGGCATCCTGTACATTCGGTGCTATTTAGCATCAGTCCTAATGGTTGAGAGTGCATGAGAACGTGGAATGTGGCGCGAGATTCTATAACACAACTGCCAAGGCTTCTCGGTTTTCAGTTGTCCGTCTATTTAGTTGCAACATTTATTTGGAAAATTTGGTAACTTTAGTTGAAACACCAAGAAGCGAGTTCCAGCTCAGCCCGGCGTTTCTAGCATCCGTGAAGAGTTAAAACGTTATAAACTGCAATCATGTTCGCCAATAGTCTGCTGTGCATTTTATGGCCCTACCCATGTTTTACACAACGTAAAGCCAGGCTCTTTCGCGATTCAGGTTTCATAAACAATATTCTTTTTTATGACATTTAGAATCTATAATAGAATTGATTTAGATTTGGTTATATCGTTTGAAATCCAGGCCCTGCTAGGATCATTGCGACTGGGATGCAAAATGGCGCATAGGAAGTAAACTTGCTGAGAAATTTTGCAGGTCGAGTTGCCTTGGGTAGTTGCATCGACATTTTCCTAACCAAATCGTCTGGATCTAATCCGTTCTTTGTGAGAAAGAATGAGAGAAGAAACTGAGCCAACGTGTGTCATTGGATATGGTGTAATAAATAGTCAGATGGCACATGTTTTGGACGATGCACAGAGTGGTAGAAACTGCGTATAGGTATTTTCATGCAACACCTGATCCTATCAACTATCTACAGGTAGCTGATACGACGCAAGATGAAAATAAAACAGCTGAAATATTTGCAGCTTTGAGAAATCTTAAATCCCACCACTTTCCCATCAACCCTTCGCATACACGTATACTCAAGTAGAGAGCAAAAGTTGGAAAGGATGTGTCTCGTCCGTTCTTCCTTGTCAGGTCGTCAATGCTGCTCCTTCTTGGGATACTGTGTTGCTCTAATCTGCAGATGCTGTTAGCGACAAACAAGGAACTCTTGTAGTGATAGCTTACCTTTTTTTTGTGTGCAAAGGGCTAGAGCAGAAGGAAGAAGCATGAGGTCGACCTCTTACGCTGTTGCGTCATGGGCTTGGTCGCCGAGCTTGATATCCCGACGGCTGGTCGCGTCATGGGCTTGATCGCCGAGCTTGATATCGCGACTGGTTGCATAATGGGCTTGATCGCCCAGTTTGATATCCCGGCGGCTGGTCGCGTCATGGGCTTGGTCGCCGAGCTTGATATCGCTGCGGTCGGTGTCATCGTGAGATAGGTCACCAAGCTTAGTGACAGGAGAAGCAGAAGCTCCCAGTACAAGAAGTGGCAAAATTGCTTGGTAGAACTTCATTTCGGGACTGATAACTGGATAGTTTTGTAGTAGTGCGGTGATGTGGAAGCTATGTTACTACCGAGAAGCTGTCGAAGGTGTGTATAGAGTTATTTAAGTGAACAATCTCATGACTTGATAGGCGTCGTCGAATTGCTTGTGAGAATATAATCCAAGACATAGAGCTAACATCATTGATGTCTCAGGCTCCGCTTCCCAAACCAGCTTATTGTGTACATAGCAAGGTAAGCTGTGACTGCCATTATGTTACTGTGGATCGTAATCAATGTTATTACTTGATTATATGCGGTATCAATATGGAATACCATTATTCAAGTGGAGCAGTCGTGATGCCCATCCACTTTTGCTGCAAGGTAAGTTTGCATGAGCTTTGCTGCACCGTCAATCCTAACGGCATCACCGCTGTGGCCTTCTAGGTACTTGCATGTGGCGTAGTATGATTTCGTTTTTTTGTAGTTAATCCCAAATGGAAATTCCCACCTGTGCAATAGGTGAGTCATGAGTTTCTTTTTACACAATTGAGCGAGGTGATTCTTCATCTAATATCACCCTGCACTTATTACCTTCTGCCTTGAGCAGGATCTCTCATTTTTTTGGCTACGTCTTGCAAGGACTCATTGACAATGCATCCCCAGTCCTCTACTTGTCTGGAAGTGGACGAATGTGATATTGACACTGAGCATCTTCTCAGCAACGAGAAGAAGAGGGAAAAGTACCAGCGGCAACAGAAGCGAAACTCGGCGTTGCTGGTTGGGAATGTATTTGTTTTGCTGCTCAACATGGGACTGTTTCTGACAGCAAGCATACGAAAAGCTGTGCATGTGACTGAATGCACTCAAAGTGTTCGTCTACCACATTCAGGTCAGTCAGTAAGACCCAATCCTCGTCACAGTCGATTGCCCGCGTAGAAATCTTATACATGAACAGATTGGATAGCCGACGGTATAGAATGGGAGGTTCGAACATATGATGATAAATTTGGAAATCATGGTCCTTTCCGAGGGGAACCTCGCCCAGAATTAGACGAAGCTTGGGGCGCATTGCTAAAGATTAAGTTAAGCGACATTCCTTTTCAGTCACCGAGGCCCTAACAATTGAGCAGACTATACAATTCGCGTTCCAGTACCTGGCTGGCGTAATGCAAGCTCCCCCAATACTATTCTTACGGAATTTGAGGATGAAACAGGAGGAATTATGGGAACATTTAGTTTCCTGCACAACTTGCATTGCCTGGTGGGTTATATACCATTTAATCTACGTTTATAGCCATTTCAGTGCTAAGATTGGCTTAGAAAATTATTCGACAGTACATGTTATCAGATTATTATTCCGCAACAGCGGAGATGTTTAAACCAGGCCCAGGACAGCCAATACGCACGCACATCGGTGAGGATTTAAATCCCGTATCTCACTATTAGTCCATGCTGACAACAAACCGTAGATCATTGTATAGACATGTAGGATAATAGCTTTTAAAAGCATCATAATCTCAAAAGACTTGCTAATACTCCAACAGCCTCCGTCAGTCAGAGCTATGCCATGCTGATACATCGCTCATGATTTTTGAATGGCAGGAGCATGCTAGAATACCAATTAACCTTCACGGTGCGAAGCATATCTGCGCAAATCCAGATAAACTGAACAGGTGGCTAGAAGCCCACACCGTTCCGCCCTTTGGGTCTATCCTGAAACATCCGTGGACCGGTATACAACCCCCCCTACTTTTATTTAGTTTTTCATTTTCTCTGCGTAGAAGCTAAGACCTACTGTAGGCGATAACCCTTTCTAAATTGATTGGTATTTCAATAAAGGTCTCATGACGCTGTGTACTTTGTGTGTGCACTGGAGCCTTTAACCAACCTCTCTGGCGGAAAATATAATATACCGAGAGCACGTGAGCCCGTGAGTTTGCTGGATAATACTTGGTATTTTAACGACTGAAGCTTGGAGACATAGTTATACAATAGCACATAATGTAATAGACGAACTCCCTACAAGTGTAAGGGTACCAACTAACGCGAGATCGCATCGGTATTAACAGTTTTTATTCCGTCGATATAACCCAACGACCTTGGTAGTTACATGATATAATTCTAGACAAGGCTACGTACTATTTCCTAACTTTATTAAAATTATATATTTTTGCTATTTTTACGCTGATTTTACTGGTATTATTATACCGCTATATATTTATAAGGCTTAGAGGCGAAGGTATTAAAGAAACAAGAATTTCTAGCTAGTATTAAAACCTTAGAGGCCCTTTTATCCGGGTTAAGCAAAATCTATCTATTTATCTACTAGGAGCAAAAGCAGGATAGCACTAACAAATACCTTATACTACTAGTATTAAGTAGCGGTAGCCTTCCAGATAACCTTTTTGGAAACACAATTCCGGAAATATACTCGGTAAATATTAAAATATATACTTTATACTCTGTAAATAAAATCTTGACGCAAGAAGAAGAGGGGTAATTAGATATATAGCGCGTAACTTTAATTATAGTATTATATTTCAAGCATCCTAACTTAAATAAATTTCAACTTTACAACGCTGCAACCGGACATCAGGTAGCCAGGTAGGTCAAGTGTATTATTATAACTAAAACTTGCCTCATCTTCTACTTGTGCGAGGTGCCGGGGATATAGTAGGGAAACCAGACCCTACTCTCGCGTGACCCTATAAATTAGATTGCGGTGGGTTACCCGTGTGCGGGGTTCCCCAACTATCTTATAAACTTAGTCTAGAACCTAAGATATTTTTATTTAATTTTTAGGTATTTCTTAAAGCCTATTATTCTAAATTTTAAATTTCTATAAAAATACTACGTAGAAACCTTATTTGTATTATAAATAATTAGCCTTTAAGTAAACTAAATATAAAAAAGTAAATAATTATATTTAAGTTAAATAAAAATTTGAAAGTTAATAAGCCTTTAAACTATAATAGGTAATAAAATAACTTATTTCTAGTATTTTATTATTTTATTTGAAACTCTAATATATTAAACTCAAACTATAATATCTAGACTAAAATGGACCATTCCTATATTCGCGAGTAATAAGGCAGTATTTACCTATTATACAAGCCAAGAGCTAAAAATCAGCAACTTTATTAGCGGGATATTTGGCAAGCACCCTTATTGCTGGGTATTCTTGCTCCGTGGCGTGATGGTCAAACCCAATAACCATCATAACGCTGGAAATACATGCATTACTAGATAACGCTTTCACAACGACAAGTTATCACGCTTGCAAATTAGGAGACTAATACAGTATAAATATCTGCCCAGCCTCCTGGTATTGCCTTGTGAAATCGTGCACTATCCGTACTATTAATTGCAATTTATCACGCTGCCTTACCAATTTCAAGCTCTCAAATAAAAAGGAACCATGTATCTCACAAAGTTGTTCGTTCTTGTGTCTGCCGCTCTGGGCGCCGTCGCTCAGTACGACGACTTCCAATTCGACAGCGCCGAAAGCGGGGCAGTAGTAGGTTATCTCAGCCTTCCAAAGAATTCAATGTTGATAGCATTGGTGGTCAATCTCACATAACGCAGGCATACGCCTATGCGCGCCCAAACGGTGGGACACCACCACCAGGGTTCCCGATTCCCAGGTATCACGAGTGTGCAGACCTTCCAGATCATATGTAAGTGTAGGGAAACCCTCACAAAGTGAGCATGCCCTTTCTATTAACACAGATTAATAGAGCGGGAAATCTCCGTTCACTGAAATTTGAAAGTCACACACGGCATTGCAACCTGTACAAGTATGTACTTTCCTTCACGTTTGATATTGCTTCATGTTTATTAATATTGCGCAGGTATAAGGGCTGCTATCAACACGTTGGTGGCTACGGCTCCGGCCCAGGTATTTTCAATATGAACTATTGGACCAAGAATACTCGATCCGTACAATGCTATCCTAAGCATTAAACGCTTGAATGCGGTGATCGCAGGAAGTGGCGAGTGGCGGATGTTCTAGGAAGCCTTTGTACAGGTTTTTATCCCCCCGGGAATAAGTATATATCATTGGGGTTTTCCCTGTGCTGTCATGCGAATGCAGAGGCTTCAATTCCGTACCAGGTCACGCAATGTGATATTGATGAGTAAATCGACTGTATGATTTCTGTCTAATGCCCACGTTGAGTCAGATCTGTTTCCCATTACCGCCCTTGTCTGAAGTCATAGGAAGTTGGCGTGTTTGCCGATAGAAGTTGCTCTGATATTATTTGTTGCTATCGAAGCATCACAAAACCGGTCTCTTGACACATGGAAATTGCTCCCCTTGGCTACTAATATACGACCCGTTTGAATAGTAGTGTCTTTTAAAATACCTGGTTCTCCTTAACAAAGGCAATCCCTCGGTGGCCCAGGGTGGCGATCAACTC